CTCTTAAAACTTCAATAAAAACATATATTTATGCTTAATTAACTTTAAACATAATTAATTTTATTAATCAAACTCAAGGATAAGATTTTAAGAATAAAAAAAACTTCGTTAAAAATCAAAAACTGCCCGAAAATCATATTTAGAAGCTGAATTTGGCCACGAGAGGGTAGTGTTCATTACCAAAGGTAGTCAGTCTTTCTTAAAACGTTGTTTCCACATGGAAAACACTACTTTTTTTTTTATCAAAATCGGATGAGTTCAGAACCTGATCGGTATTAAAACAGGATTAACGAACGGAAATCTAAAAACTAAAACATGAATTTACGTGTTCAAAATAATTTGGAATTAAGTTAAACTTATCAGTAGTTATAATCACCAAAATTTCAAAACATCATTACTATAAAATCCCTAAATCAATTGTTCATAAAAACCCAAAAATCATGATTTTCAATAATTAAAAACCCTAGGTTATAAAATTTATAAAATCTGAAAATTATAACATTTATAAAATATGAAATTATAAAGTTTAATCATCAAAATACAATTTGATACTAATTAAATTAATTTTCAACAATAAAATCAAAACCCATAAATTAATAATTATAATTACACAAATTAATAAAACAAAGAAGAAAGAAAATAAGATTAACCTTTTTATGTGGGAAATTTTTGGGGATTCATGGGGTATTTATAGGAGAAAATTGTAGAGTAGAATCAGGCCTGGTGAAAATAATAGGCCAATTAAATAAACAAATGGGTTAGGCTTTGTTTTTATGATCATGGATTATACGATATAGGTTCATAAAATAATTTGTGCTAAAATAAATTTTTTTTGAACCAAATTAATAATTTGAAACTTTTTAGAATTAAATTACGGAAAAATACAAATAAATATTATAAATAAAATAAAATTTCATTTATAAAATATTTAAAAATATGGGGGATTACAACATAAGTGTTGTCATTATTTTAAATTTTCGGTTTTGTTTTAAAGAAATGATATGGTTTTTATAATTTATCTTTTATCTGTCAAGGTAATAATTCATAAATTTTGAGTTTCCTATATAGCATTTTTCGGAAATTCATGGGGTAAAAAATGATGAAAGACTTCCGCAAAATATATTTAGAAAAATAGATTAAAATTATTATTCTATTGATTCATGAAAACAATTATAAGAGTGCAAGTTGTTGTTGGTGTGTCGGTGAGACGAGGGAATATGTTGTAGGAGAGGAATAAGGTGTGTGCTTTGAAGGCTCAAAAAGCAGTGCAAGCCCTTAAAGGCCAAAACAATTGATATGTTAAGGAATTATCCATAATTATTGTACTTCCATAGTTTTAATACCTCAGTTTCATATTAGTTGCAACATAGTTTTGGAATATGTTATATTTCACAAATAATACCTCAAAGTTGCAACTTATATAAAACAGAGATAGTATTTTACTTGCAACATAGCATATGTAAATAATCAAATTAATTAAAATAAGTTTAACATCGATGAGGACAATAACATATTTGTTTTGCTTGTGTTTCTTTTTTTTTTGGCTGGTTTACATCTTTTAATCTCTTCCTTAAAATACGTCTAAATTTTTATGTTGCATGTAATGTGAAACATAGAATGATTGGATTGTTTCCCAACAAGAATCTCAATAAAAAGAATATGAATGTGATTGAGAGAGATGACCAATCTATTACATACTATTAACGGTGATACTAAGAACACTTGGCAACATATAATTAAAAGTGTATCCTTCAAAACTACATGTTTAAACAAATTCATTACTACATAGAAAGAAGGTTTGTAGTATTGTACGTAAATTATGACTTTTACTCTATACAAATTCTAAAGTAAACTCCATCAACATCAAATTGATCATTATAAATTTATAACTATTACATGTTTAATTATTTTTCCTCACATATTTTATTAATTTTCAAAAATATATTTCATACTTTTGAATCCTTGTTGAATTGATTGATAATATGTATACCATTTTTTTTGGTAAATTTATTTTGTTATAAGTATGTAGCAATTTTGCATTGCACGGGGTTTAATCTAGTATCTTAATATTAAAAAAAAATCAAGCGAATGAAAGCAGTCTGAAAGACATAAACAAAAGTCAGGAATTGAAAGAGTATCAACAAGGAAATAGAAGAGTAACAGGAGGTCGGCAATCCAATATTCTGATGCGAGCTACTAACAACCATGGAGACAATTCTTAATGCTCAGGGAGGGAATTCTTAGTAAGGCGCCAACAAGAGTGAAAAACTTCATCCTCAATGTCCTTCAAATATGTTGTTTTTGTTGTTGTTAAGTTCTAAGTATGTAGTCACTAGAGCTCATAAACTAGCTATTGCAGCTAGAAGAAAACCTACGATTTGGCCTTGTATCTCTATTTTTTAAAAAAAGGGAAATTGTTCCGTGTACCTTCCAGATTTTATAAAAATGCACCGTGTACCCTTGAAACTTTTAATGCACCATGTACCCCTTAGGTTTGTAAATAAATGCACCAAATACCCTAATCCTCTAACAAATGCACATATAATGGACTTATCAAACTAAAATCATGCCTACACATTAACTCACTTTTTTTTAATACTTTATATTTATGCAGTAAAACTACCTAAAAGCATAAATAACATCAAAATTTGAACTTTGTCGATCATTATGAATCTAAAATTTTGGGTGTTAGAATTTGCTTTATTAATTAAGTTTACTTTATAATTGAATGGTTTAGCATAATAGCAGCATTGAACATTTGAACTAAAATGGTTTAATAGTATTTGATACTTAAGGGGTCTCAATTTAACAAAATTAACATTTATTGTGAGTTTAAGGCCTTGTTCTCATCAGATTATTTTCAGTTCAGTTCAGCTATAATAAGTTCAGTTCAGTTCATTTTAGTTTAGCTCCTAATTTCCTTCTCTCATAAAATATTCATTTTAGTTCAGTTCAGCTCTAATAAGTTCAGTTCAATTTAGCTCATTTAAGTCAATTAGAATAGACCTTAATGGTATGATGCAAGTTTTTACAAATCTCAAGAGTAACCAATGCATCTAATTTGAATTTTAGTACCTCAAAATTGGGGGTAATTGAATTTTAGTACCCATCTATTTTTTTTTTAAATTAGTACCTCCAAACTGACAAAAGTATAGGTTTCAGTACCTCCGTTACTATTCCGTCTGATTTGCCGTTTGTGGGCCCCATGTCAACGGCTAGTTTGTTACTTCCCTTTTTTTAAACCACGATTTTCTTCGTTTTTTGCCCATTTTTGCTACTGTTTATAGTGAAGAATCAAAATTTGTGGGATAGAAATTCAATTAGACTTAGGGTTCTTGTTAATTGCTTAATTGCGAAGCTGTTGGGAGGATTGTTCACGCATTTGCTGAAGATTTGGTTGGCTGAAAAAAAAAAGGTCAGTTTGTTCATAATTTTGTATACGAATTGTTATATTTGAAGTTGATTTGAGTAGAATTGTGTTGTATTTGTGGTTCATATGATATTGACATTGTAGTTTGTACTGCCAATTGTGTGTTTATTTGAATAATGTTGATGTAATTTGTATTTTGATGCTGTAGAAAAGTTAGGGTTCTTTAATTTGGTTAAATTGGGGATTTTTGGTGTTATTGAAATTAATGTTGCATGTGTGTCATATTTCTAAAATTGGGGTTTTTTGTTGCATATGTGTATTTTTATTTGCAGAATGGCTGAGGATAGAGTGGTATTCAGATATAAGTTCTTGAGTGTAGTGATTGACATTGAAGTAGAAATAGGTAAAGACAACTTGATGGATAAATGCTTAGAGTGGGAAGACCGTTTGCGTGAAATGGACGATCAGTAGAAGGATCTATAGATATTTTGTTTCCCAGATTCCAGTACATTTATAAAGGGAAATATAGGGATTTAGAGGATGATGGGGATGTGTTCAAAATGATTAGGAGGCTTGGTAATAAGGACATCTACACCATTCATGTGGGCACCACTGATGATCCTGGGTTCTTGGCAGATTGTATTTGGGAGTTTAGGCAGAAACAGAATGGGAATTGGCCACCCCCTGGCTATCCCTATAATGGTGCTCAGCCACCAGTTTAACAAGGTTTGTGTGATGCATGGTGTGTCTAAGTGGTGTTGTTGTTGTTGTAGTGTGTTTTGTCTAATGCCCCTATTTTTATTTTGTTTGATGTTTGCAGGAGTCATAATGTCCTACAATACTGAATCTCCCTCTAAACTGAAGAAGTGTAACTGTGGGTTTCCACTAGCAAGGCTGACATCTTGGACGAGGGAGAATCCAGGGCGCAAGTTCAAGGCTTGTAAATTTTGGGATCCAAACACTGAGACAAGGGGTTGCAAATGTTTTGAATGGGTTGACTTAGAGCAAACTGAGTGGCAAAGGGAGGTAATCAACAACCTCACTCTTGACAAGAAGTTAATGAAGTTTGAGATGAATTCTTTGCAAAGGGAGGTTGATGATCTTGTTGGGCAAAGGAGGTGTTTGCTAAATGAAGTTGACACATTGAAGACTAAATGCAAGGCCTTGTCTGGTGATAGGAAGAAGATGACAGGAAACAATGGTAGTGGTGACAGGCTTCAGTTGACTGTAGTTGTTGTATTTTGTGTACTTGTTATGGTTTTAGGAGTTTGTGTTGTCATAAAACTTGTTTAGGGGAGGGTGATGAATTCCAGGGTCTTATGTCTAAGTATGGTGATACTAATTTTCCTACTAATTATGTATGGTTCTTAATTGTAGTTGTATTTGTGGTTTGTATTGAACTTAAGTTATATATTGCACTTTATGTATGTATGAATTTCAAAAAATATTGGCCTTCAAATATATGTGCTTCATTTATCTAATAAAATAGAGTCATATCATATATACATAAATATGTCTACTTACAAGGGACTAAGTCCAAAAAGTGACTAATAAATATATAAGTTCATCAAAGTGAATACATAATGGATACTGTCAGAGAAATAGGTTCAACAATTTTCAGAAATTGCACTTAATTTTTTTTCTTGTTTGGCCTTGTTGCTGTAGTATTTTTTGCTGTTGTTGTGGTTGATGCTTGGCTGCAGAGGTATGGCTCAGCTCCTGCACTCTGCCTTGACCTTGTATTAGGCCTTTGAGAAGGTGCTGCTTGTGAGGGTGCTGATGCTCCTTGAGATGCTTTTGCTGCAGCAGTTTTTGAGGATGCCTTTGGTCCTTGAGATGCAGCAGCTCCTGCTCCTTGAGATGCTGCTGCTGCAGCAACTGTTGAGGAAGCTTTTGCTGCGGTAGCAACCTTCTTCTTAGCCTCTTCTTGTGGGAACTTCTTATTGGCAATGCTGTTAGGTCCTGCTGATGCTCCAGGAGTAGTCTGCAAAAATTAGGGGATGTATACTAAATTAAGACAAAGAAAAACAAACTAAATGACACATAAATGAGAAAAATTTCAGAAATAACCTTGTTTAAAGCTCTTGCAGCTTTGATTCTCCTCTGTTCTACCACCCATGGTGTGTTTACAGCAGGTTTTCCCATAGAGTTAGGCTTGGAAGAAGGCTCTTTCACTTCTGCAGGCATATTGGAGCAAGTTTTTGCATAGTGTCCAAATTGAGCACATTTTTGGCATCTCTTCTGCCTTTTTTGTGAAGTACCCTCAGCAGCATCTGCTACACCCTCTCCCTTTTCCTTCTTTCTCTTTTTGGATTTAGGTCTTCCAGGCATGACTCTCACAGGTGGTGGCAGTGGCTCCCTTAGTTGAATCTTTTCCCAGTGTTTGGGACCTGACATAGGCTGTACTGGCAAGTCATATGCCTCTAAATATCTCTCCCTTGTATAATAGTGGTCCACATACTCTTCTGGATCACTTCTCTTGTCTAATATACAAGAAAATCCATGCACACAAGGGAGGTCAGTTAATTGCCAGTGGTAGCATGTGCATGTCCTATTTTGAAGGTCAACAGTTACTTGGTCTGAATTGAGGTTGACCTCATAAGTGTCATCCCTAGAGACCTGCATTATGCAGTGCCTAGCCACCCTCTCCATTCTCTCATACAGTTTAGTCACATAAGGCATGACTTTTCCTTGAATTTTTTTCACACCCTCCCACTTGTCATTGTGTCTTTTCATTGCATACCTCCTTAACCATTCCATTTGGGTTAGGATAGGTTTGTCCCTAGCTTCTCTAATGCAAGCATTGAAGGTTTCACACATATTATTCAATAGCATATTAGATTTGCAATTAGTTGAAAAGGCATGCCTAGACCAATGTTGAGCAGGGATGTTGTCAAGATATTCATAGACATCCTCACTAAGGAACCTTATGGATTCCATTGCAATTTCAAAATCAGCCTACAATAAGTGCAAAGCAATTACATATAAGTATGCTTATAAACTAATCACATCTGGATTTTCCACAAAAAATGACAAACTCAGCATTCAAACTGAGCAAACACAGTGCGCAGTCATACTTTAATGACAAAATGAGCATTCATAATGACCTCACAAACTGAGCAAACAAATAACACATAAACTGAGCATACAAATAGAACAGGGCATATATTAGCTAACATACTGCAAGAACATAACAGACAAATCAGCATACCCAAATTAAGCTTGCAAACATAGTCAGCATACTCATATTAAGCCAGCAAACAAAGTCAGCATACCCATATTAAGCCAGCAAACTTGTTTACCAAAACTGACCACCTAGATGGTCACAAACTGTTCACAACTAAACTAACCACAAAGTTATGCTTATAAACTAATCACATCTGGATTTACCACAAAAAATGAGCTAATTCCATACTAATAAACAAACAAAGAACAGAGCATACCCATATTGTAGCTCTAGCAGCATTTTAAAACAACTCTTTGAATGTGGACCCTCTGAACTGTAATTTGAAGTTTGCCCATATGTGTCTCACATAAAACCTCTTCTCAGCAAAGGGCACCACCTCCTCAAATGCCTCAAGAAGGCCCTAAAAACACAAAAATGACAATTATATGTGAGTAAACAAATAAAACACAGTCAATTCAAAATAAATGCCACAAAAAGTCACTAAATTGATAGTTCACTAACCTTCTGCCTATCTGACATGTAAGTGAAGCCACCTCCCATTGCCAAGTCATCCAAACTTTTCTTCAAACACTCCAAGAACCAGCACCAAGTTTCTTTGTTCTCCACCTCTACAGTAGCCCATGCAAAGGGGTAGATGCTGTTGTTCCCATCCTTTCCCACTGCCACCAGAATCTGACCAGGGTAGGAGCCCTTCAAATGGCATCCATCCACCCCTATTAAAGGCCTACAGCCTTTTAAGAAACCCCTTACCAGTGGGGAAAGGCACACATACATCCTCAAGAATAGTGGTGGCTCTGGCCTATCCAATCCATCAACCACCACATTCACTACAGTCCCTGGGCTATATTTCTGCACTGCCTTCCCATAATCCCAAACTCTGGCATACTGTTCAGAAGCAGAGCCATATATCATGAATTTAGCCCTACCCCTGGCTAACCATGCCTTGTAGTACCCAATCTTAATGCCCAAGTCACTCAAAACCCTATCCCTAAAGTTGTTTATCTTCCAACTAGGGTTGTTTCTCCACTCTTCCACATATCTCTCAGCCAAGTACTCTGTTGTAACATTGGCATTCATGTTTCTCCTCATACAATTGTGTTCCAACTTCAGATCTTGGATTTGCTAAGCACTACTCTTGAACAAAGGCCTTGCAATGACCTTATACTTGCACCTCCTCACTTCCTCACTGCACTTACAAATAGGAAGCTTACTCCTCTTTGAATCCCATTCACAACCACATCTCTTCCTGTAGAAAGTGGTTAACTTCTCTTTGTTGTTGTGTAGAAAATAGAACTCATATCTATTTTCAATTGCATGAGTTCTTAGTGCTTTCCTAAGCACCAAAATGTTAGTGAACTTCTGATTTTTCACCAACACAACAGGTTTCTTGAAATCTGTATCCTCCCTAAACCAAGGACTGTCATCTATGTCCTCATTAGAACCATGCTCACTTCTCAGCTCATCATCATCAGTTTCTTCTTCATGAAGCTGTACTTCACCCTGCCCTAGATCTTTCACCAGTTGATCCAACTTCTGCTTACTCCCCTGCCCTGAACACCCAGGATGAACCAATGCCAAACTCTTTTCCACCTCACCTAGGATGTTAGCAGTGCTCTCACCCAATCCCTCATCTTCAGAATAACCCTCTTCCTCCTCACCTGGATTCCAATCTATGTCTATGTCACTTAAGTCCTCACTAGAAGAACCTGAATCACTCTCCTCATCATCAATGAACAACTTCCTTTGTGCCTTACCCTTCCCTTTCCCCTCTGATTTGGCTATCCTCTTTCCCAACCCAGCAGCTTCACTCAACTTCCCTTTCCCTTTATCATTTCCTACCCTCAATTCACTTCCTGAGGAAAACCTAGGACTCCTCCTCACTAATGGCTCACTAACTGCACTACAAGTTTCTGTTAATGGGTTGGACTGTTGCCACCTAGGGCTCCTCCTCAAAACTAATGAAGTACAAGCTTTTTTGAGAGTGTGTTGCTCCTCCTCAACAGTGTTATCAAGCTCATCCATTTGAGATTCTACAAATTAAGGAATAAACAATCTAATTAACCAATTTTCTATATCACAAACAACAATAACAACAACTGTAACATGCATTACCCTACACCAATTACCATAAAGCAACAACACAAATACCCTAACACATGCATTTGTAACATTCAATTATAAATCAATATCAATTAAATTGATACTTTAATCCAAACACAGTAATCTAGGGTTTAATTAATTTTTTCCAAAAATACCCACAAATTTCATCAAAATTGCGCAACAAACCATTAATGGACAGTACAAAAAGTTGGGGAAATCATACATGTTCGTTGTCAGAAGAATCTCCCACTTCTTTCAATGGAGATGACGACTCCAAGATTGACCTTTCCCAGAAGCTTGCTGATGTGTGCTTTGAGTCAAAATAAGACACCTTTGAGTCAATTGCAGAGATACAATGAAAAAAAAAAAAAAATTACAGCCTAGCAATTGACAGTGGAGAGAGAAAGAAAACGTGGTTGAATTTGGGCAATGGAGTTATTGCATGTGGTTGAGCATTTGATTATGGAGGAACAGGGCAAAGAGAGACAAAGAGAGTAAAATGGAGGGAATTGAATGAGAATCGAAGAGAGAGAAAGAACAAAGGGAGGGAAGTTTGGTAGCTGGGGCCAACAAACGGCAAATCAGACGGAATAGTAACGGAGGTACTGAAACCTATACTTTTGTCATTTTGGAGGTACTAATTTAAAAAAAAAATTAGATGGGTACTAAAGTTCAATTACCCCCAATTTTGAGGTACTAAAATTCAATTACCCCTTTTTTTTAAAGGTACACAATGTATTTTTTATAGGAAAAATTGCCCGGAATAATCCCACCTTTGGACCGTTCGCTAAAAATAATCCCACCTTTGGATTATTTTTTAATAATCTGGCGTTTAATAACAATCTTTTTTAAATGGTCCCAACTGGTCAATTAACTTGTTATAATAAGTTACTTGACATGTGTCAGCACCTAATTGGTCTGAAAAACTTAAGAAAATTAAAAGAAAAAAAAAGTTAAAATAAAATCAATTAATTAAATTTAAAAACCACCCACCAGCCAAACTACCAACCCTGCCGCGCCGACCACCCCTGCCACCGCACCACCGGCTGTGCCGACCTCCCATGTCCCTCTAATCTGGCCGAGCCGACCTCCCTTGTCCTCCGATGTCGGTCTCTCTGATCACCCCTACCCCCGTTTCTAGACTAGCTGATCTCCCCCATCCCCCGATTCCGGCCTCGCCAACCTCCCACATCCCACAATTCTAGCCGCGCCGACCTCTTTCATCCTCTGATTTCGGCTTCTCTGACCTCCTCTGCCCCCGATTCCGCCAGCATTGAACTCCCCAACTGTTTCTTGAGATTTGGTTTGGTGGTTTTCGAATGGTCTTGGTTTATGGGGAATCGATTTTTCGAAGGTGGTTTGAGGTTGGGTTGGCTGGGGTGGGATTTTGGTCGTTGCGGTAGGTGGTGTTGGTTTCAGGTTTGTCTGAGATGGTAGTTCCAGGTTTTGGGTTTGGGTTTGGGTTTGGGTGGTGGTGGTGGCTGAAGTGGCGTGGCTAAGGTAGTTGGTGGTGGTGTTTTTTTTTTCCTTTTAATTAATTTTTCTCTTTTTATTTTTTATTTTTAACTAATCAAGTGACGACAAGTGTAAATTAAACTCTTAAAAAAACCTACTCAACCGGTTACAAGTCACCTGAGACCATTTAAAGAAGATTGTTATTAAAGGTCGGGTTATTAAAAAATCATCCAAAGGTGGGATTGTTTTTAGCGGACGACTCAAAGGTGGATTATTCCGGGCAATTTTTCCTTTTTTAAAACCTTATGAACATAATTTTGTCTAGAGCTACCCTAAAGATAAGATCATTTGTGAACAACTACTCATTTTTTTTTATTTGTTTAGAACTATCCAGAAGTTACAACACGTTAACGTTTGGATATGACTACCCATTAAAGTTTTCCGTCCAATTAAGACGTTATTGGACCCACTTTTTCACTTTTTCCACCTAATTAACTCCCTAATTACCTTTACTTTTTCACTTTTCCCACTTAAGTTAAGTAGGAAGGAGAGAGAAGGAAATTAGAGGAGTTAATTAAGTGGAAAAATTGAAAAAAGTGGGCTCTATTAACGTTATTTTGGACAAAAAAATGTTAATGGATATTTCTATCAAAACTAAAAAAAAAAAATAATAAAAAAAATAAAAAAGTAATTGTTATCTTTAAGGTAATTCTAAACAAAATTATGTCCGAGAGGTTTTAAAAAATTCATTCAAGTAAATCTAAACAAAATTTTCCGGACATAAAACAATTACCCGAAAAAAACAAAACAAAAAAAAATAAAAAAAATAAAAAAAAAAATGTTCTCGTCTCTAATGTAAATTCGCCAACAAAGTTGTTAAAAGTAGCATAATATTGCATACTGTCTATAATGAAAGAAAACTATCGCAAGGTTCACCAGGTCTCTCTTTCTTTCCAACCCTCCCCTCATATATTTTCCCTAATAATCGAAAATTCTCAAATCGCCATATACCAGAAACGATTAAAGCTTCGATTTAGCAGATTTAACTTTGAATTCACGCCAATTTATTCTCCAACAAGAAATACCGGGTGCAAAACCCTTCAATTGCTTCAACCATCTATGAATCTGCTGTAGAATTGGAATCAACTTGAATATTTGCATCCAATCGCTCAATTTATAATCATCGGTTTGCTGAAATGAGGCCAATTAGGCTTCCTGAACCTCCCACTAGTCCCAGGGGCATGCCAGAGATCTTCGAAGGAGGTGTTTTTGGTGTAATTCGACGTGCCGTCATTATCGGCAACGGATTCCCAGGTGCAGAAAACCAGTGTGTTGGCTTGGTTCGTGCTCTTGGGCTCTCCGACAAACACCTCTTCTATGTAAGTTTATTATATCTGGTGGAAATTTATGGGATCAGTTTCTTTTATTTAACTGGCGACTTTTGTTATTATTGTTATTATTGGTCTTTGTGAATCATCAATCACAGCTTTTCTTAATTTCCATTTCCATCATTTAGTATCTAATTATGCTTGATTGAAGGGTTTGAGGCATGGAGTCATCTATTAGTCTACTCATTCTCTTGTAGTTTGTAACTAAGGCTAGGCTTTCCATCATCACCAACTGAAATATAAATGCTAGAGACCTATCAGTGAGCTGATGCATGAGTGTGTGAGAAGGAAAAAGACGATGCCAAATAATTATTCTTGTATTTTGAGGATACCTGTATATCTAATATGTCTTGGACCTCTTAGTCATCTGATGCTCTGTATGTGTGCCAATCATTGCTGGTTTAAATGACAAATACATGAACTAATACTATTACACTAGTTCACGTACAATGATCTCACAAGGACTAGTGATTACATTTCCTTTTCATACCTAAACGAACCTTGGCTACCTTGGAGACTTGGAATTATTCTTCCTTTCCCTCCCTTTTATTGGCAATACGATGATGGTTGGCTTTCTTGTTATGGTTCTTTTGTTATTCAGGGGAGTTGTGCTTCTTCTTGGCTTGTTACATGTAGATATGTAGGATTACTTATACTCGCTGCCTTTAGACTCTGCCATGGACTAATATCTGCATCTTTGGCTACCGTAGAACCTCCAAATGTGAACTAATGACTTCAGGACCCATGTTTAATTCAAAATGGTTAAAGCTCTGGGTTCGCTGCTCAATGCTCATTTAAATTACTTTTTTTGGGACCTCCTATAACATATTCGTTTTTGGGTTGAAGGCATGAACCTGTTAAAGCCATTGAACGAGGGTGATAAATTTGTTTTCCTTTCTTTGTTTGAGATTGTTAATATCACCCTAGAATAGGGGTGAAAGTTCGGTATTCGGTTTGGATTACACCCCAAACCGAATCCAAACCGAATTATTTCGGTTTCGGATTTTTGAAACCGAATCCAAACCGAATTTGGATTCAATCCAATCCAATCCAAACCGAAATAATTCGGTTTTGAGAATTAAATCCAATCCAAACCGAAATAATTCGGTTTTGAGAATTAAATCCAATCCAAACCGAATTTTTATGGGCTGCTGTATTAGGCCTTAAAATCTGGGCTTTTTATTGGGCATATAATTTTGGGCCTTTTAAGGCCTAAATTTTGTACCTGTTCCTGAACAAAATTAAAGCATAAATTTTAACATACAACTTTCACAAGTCACAACCATATGCCATACTGCCATAGTAACTAAATTGTCCAGCCATACTGCCATAGACCATAGTAATTAAATACACTTACACATTGTCCACATTGAGACATAAGAACTTAACAAGTCTTAAAACTATCAAAACAGTCCACATGATGAATTGATAATAAAACAGACAAACAGTCCACAAATGAACTAGTTCAACCAACAGGGCAGCTTCATTCTTAGGCTCTTGGCAGAAACTTCAAGTCTTCAATCAATAGGGCAGCTTCATTCTTGGCAGCTAACTCTCAATCAAGCTCAACCAAGTCCGGGTTTTGACCACCAATTGTCATATTCCTCAAGTCTAATAACATTAAAAAAAAATAAACAAGTTACATAATATATATGAAATAATGAAAAAAAATAACATGATAATTGTTGTTTTATGTTACCTTCTTCAAGATCTTCAACTTCTTGTAAACACTCTTCTATATTAGGAAAGGGAGAAGAACGTAGCCAATTTTGAGCACAAACAAGTCCTTCAACGACCCTTGGAGTTAAGGAGCTCCTAAATGGGTCTAGAACCCTACCACCAGTGCTGAATGCACTCTCAGAGGCTACTGTTGAGATAGAGACAGCAAGTATATCACGGGCCATTCTTCCAATTGTTGGAAACCTAGCACTATTAAACTTCCACCACCCCAAAATATCAAAATTTTCACATTCCTCCTCCGTTTCCTCTTCTAAATATTTGTCTAACTCAATTTTTGCTTCTCCATCTTTCTCACACTTATGTTTCTTATACTTACTTTTCAATACCTGAAGCTTCTTTTGTTTGGGAGAAAATTGGGAACTGTCCATACTTGAGGACACTTCCTCCCTAATCACATCACCAGAAGAACCACGATACTCCTCATACAATGCATTCAAAGACTCTTTCAAATTATTCACCAAAACAAATGCATGCTTAGAATCATAAATTTCAATTAACATCCACTCAACATAATCTAACTTATAACGAGGATCAAGCACAACAGCAATAAAAATCAGCATGTTTATTTTCTCCGGATCACCCCAATATTTGTCATATTTCTCCTTCATTTTAGTAGCCATAAGACACATCTCCACATCATCATTTGTCATCAAATCTTTCAAAAGGACAGCAACACTCACCAATTCATGGAAAAATAAATTGGAAGTCACATGCAAAGACCCAGAGACACGCAACGTAAGATCATAAAAGACTTGTAAAAATTCAGAAAACCTTCTGACTGTTTCCCAATCCTCAGAAGTAGGGCAGCCCTTCCCCTCCCTCTCATTTAACTCAATCACATAATGAGGGTCCTCCTCAGAGTACCTCTCAAAAGCATACTCAAACACCAAAGCAGCATCCAACATTAAAAAGGTGGAATTCCACCTAGTAGGCACATCAAGGCACAACAACTTTTTAGAGTTGATTTTTTCTTCCACAACACATTTTTTAAACCTTACCAACCTAGAAGGGGATTGTTTGATGAATCTTACAGCTTGTCTCACACGAGTAATAGACTCATTAACAATTTTCAAGCCATCAGACACAACCAAATTCACAATATGAGCAACACAACGCATATGAAGGAACCGACCCTTAAGAACCCCAGCTTTCCAACCATTTATTTTCCTTCTCATATATCCTATTGCGGTATCATTTGAGCTAGCATTATCAACAGTTATGCAAAATACTTTCTCAAGTTCCCAATCAAGCAAACATTTCTCAATTTCTTTCCCAATTTCCTCCCCCTTATGACTTGATATAGGACAAAAATTCAGAATACGTTTTTGCAAATTCCAGTCATTATCAACAAAGTGAACAGTCAAGCACATGTAATTAATTTGCTGAATAGATGTCCATGTATCGGTTGTTAATGAAACCCTTGAGTTACAATTTTTTAATACCAATTTCAGCTTTCTTTTTTGAGTTAAAAAAGTTTCATAACAATCTTTAGCCACAGTAATTCTGGAAGGGACATGAAATCTAGGCTCCATTACATTACAAAATTTTTTAAAGCCTACTCCCTCAACAAACTTAAAAGGCAATTCATCAACTATAACCATCTCAGATAAAGCTTTTCTAATTACAGTTGGATCATATTTCACATAAGACAATCCACTAGTACAACCACTTTCAATTTTATTGCTTTTGAAAGACAACAAACTTTGTTTTGATTCTTTAGGAGTATTATAGGGGTACTTACGACATCTATTTATATGAGCCCACAATGGACTAGTGCCATTTCTCTTTGTACCACACTTGTATCTCATACCACAGTACTTGCAACGTGCTTCCATTCCAGTGTGTGTTTCTTCCTTGATAAAGTGCTCCCAAACCTCGGAACGATCCTTCATTCTCTTCCTCTTGGGTTTGGATTTTTCATTGTCAGATTCATGCTCCTCAATAGGGACATTCCCTTCAACATTATCCATATTTGTGGACATTCTGATAATCTGATTTAAAACAGAAAAAAGAACTCACTCAATAACCAACAATTTTTATGCAAATCTATGAAAAACAATCAATCTATCACCAGTTCGAGCATAATACAATTCGAGCATAATACAATTTCGAGCATAATACAATTCGAGCATAATAACTATTCAAAGAAAACAATCTATCACCAGTTCGAAAATAACAAAGAAAACATGCAATTCGAGCATAATACTATAATAGAACAACATATATTCTGAACTCTGAAGGAATATCATCAATTCGAGCATAATACAATTCGAGCATAATAACTATTCAAAGAAAACAATCTATCACCAGTTCGAAAATGACAAAGAAAACATGCAATTCGAGCATAATACTATAATAGAACAACATATATTCTGAACTCTGAAGGAATATCATCAATTCGAGCATAATACAATTCGAGCATAATAACTATTCAAAGAAAACAATCTATCACCAGTTCGAAAATAACAAAGAAAACATGCAATTCGAGCAGGAAAAGAGAAGTGCAAGTGAAATCTGAAATTCAAAAATAACAAACATGCAATTCGAGCAGGAAAAGAGAAGTGCAAGTGAAATCTGAAATTCAAAATAACAAAGAAAACATGCAATTCGAGCAGGAAAAGAGAAGTGAAATATGAAATATTGAAATTAAAGCATACCGGAACACTCGAACAGGTGGTCAGCGGCGGCCGGCGTTGGAACACTCGAACGGAACACAGGTGGTGAGAGGGAGAGATGAGGGAAAATCTAGGGTTTTAGTGAGGGAAAGAGATCAGAAACGAAAGAGAAGTGAAATATGAAATATTGAAATTAAAGCATACCGCCATACCGGAACACTCGAACAGGTGGTCAGCGGCGGCCGGCGTTGGAACACTCGAACGGAACACAGCCACAGGTGGTAAGTAGGAAAGCAGGAAGTAGTGAGGTGGTGGATTGGTGGTGGTGGACGAACGGAGTGACTGAGTGAGGTGGTGAGAGGGAGAGATGAGGGAAAATCTAGGGTTTTACTTTTAGTGAGGGAAACGGCTGAGATTCTGAGAAATGGGCTTATAAATTTAGGGTTTGAGTATATATACGTAGGAAAATGGGCTGAGAAATGGGGCTTATTTCGGTTCGGTGTTCGGTTTTCGGTTTTTAAAATCCCAAAACCGAATCCAAACCGATATAATTCGGTTTTCATTTTCTCAAACCGATCCAAACCGAAAACCGAACAAAACCGAACCGAATTGCTTATTCGGTTCGGTTTGGTTCGGTTTTCGGTTTTTATCCAAACTACTTTCACCCCTACCCTAGAAATGTTCACGCACAAAGATGGATTCTTTTTGTTCACGAAGGTTGTTTTTCTAGTTATAGATGAGATACACATGGGGGACCAAATTAACACCCATGATATCCTAGGTTATAGAGTGCTGCCTTGCTGGCATATCTACACTGCATCAAATCATAACGTGCTTAAATTTGTTTACTATAATGGACTATGTCATGAAGTGCCTGAACCTTTCAACTCCCCTATGATCTTAATTGTTGTAAAAGGGCAACAAGGGTTGAAACTTACAGTCTACTACAGTTGCGAGTACTTCATCATTTTATTTAGATTTGAACTTTTTAACCGTGGGATTTTGAAGGGCCACATTCTATTCACAATCCTATCTCTATGTAATATATATCCCTCCATGATCTCAATTATTGTATAAGGCCAACAAGGGATGATGATTTCCAATCTATTCCAGTTGTGAGAACTTGATCATTATTTTAAGATCTGAGCTTTTGATTGCAGGATTTTGAAAGGCCACATTCTATATATGTTTTCTTTCTTATATCACAATAATAAGATTTTGTAGGAAATAACAGTGACTTCTCTATTGATCTCCTCACATGGCTGGAAAATTAGTTGGGGATTAAAAGAAATAAAACTGATGGTTGCCGAAGTGATGGAAAATTGGCAAGTCACTTGACTCACTTCTTGTAAAGTGAATTCTTGCTATCTTCTTTGAAGTAGCTCAACTGAAGTGTTGTACTCTGCCATTATTGCTTGGAAAGTTGGAATGCAGTTTCATAATGCACAATCACTGGTTTGGCAGGTTCATTATATAGCATTTCTAGAACTAGGATCAATATCCTGTTCTCATGATATCATTCTCTATAATTTGCTAGCAGTTTCAGCTATTTATGAGTATGCTAATGCTATAGTGATCCATTTTTATGTTTTAAACTACTTCCTTTGTTCTTTTTTACTTGACCCGCTCACTTTTACATTATTAACCATCCCTCCTTTGACCGTCGTTTGTGAATTATATGTAAGGGAAAACATATCATGTGGGATCTTATTAAAATCATCTCAATAAGTACTATCAAAATATATAACTTTTATAATTTTTACTTGTAGAGGATTAAATTTATTGACGGTTAAAATTGTGCATCGGCAAGCGTAATAAAGGAAACAGGTTAGTTAAAAGGAATGGAGGAAGTATTAGTTTTCTTGACAATCTTTTGTGATAAACATAATTTTCGGATATTGATGTTATCAAAGGCAACATGTTGGACTTGGGTTGTATCTTGCTGGATCCAAATTCGACCCGGTCAATACTAAAACACTCGAACCCTTGATTCCACTCCGACTTTGTCTTCTTATGCTTGAATCCAAGTTTGTTAGGGGGTTAAACTCTTATCTCCTCCAAACATGACTAGATTCTTGTTCCTCTCTTGATATAAATCTATATATCACGTGAATTTCCAAAAGAATGTAGAAAGGAAAATAACTGAATCTAAATATCTCTTGGATATTCAAATAAAATGCATACTAAACTTTTAAAGTCATAAACTTGTCTACTACCTTCATTTATGAAAGCTCTTAACACTTTATAGTTGTCATTTTTCTATAAGTTCTTAAGCTCTCAACACTCTCACTTTATTCCATTCTGGCAAAACTATTTTACTACATTACCCCTCTTACCTCACAATATTTACACCTCCCACCCATTTTCTCTTCCTTAGAACACCTTTTCCTTACACACATCCCTCCCTTACTTTGTCCGCATTTTTCCTTACCTCACATTTACTAATTTTTGTGTAAGTAGTAAATGTTGAGAACTTTTGGAAACAGAGATAATACATGTTTTACATAAATAAGGTCAGTAAAGAAAGAAAAGAAACCCAGGTTGCTTTGTTCAGGACTCCAGGACCTTTAGACGTCAGGTCCATCGGTGCTTACTAATTTGGGTGCATCAATGTGTTTTGATATATATTGAAGGAAATGGCTCAAGTCATTGGGTTTTATGTTGCTTGGTATGTTGACCCTATGCATCATCCACCCAGCATTCACTTCACCAATTATGGAGGGATATGAAACTTTGGGTTCTGACAACATTTATATACTAGAGAGGGGTGAGGAATGGTTAGATTGTAAAGTTTAAACATAAAGGCAATTCTACAGAGAAGAAAACATATGGTAGTTACTGGAACTAATTAGTTTTTGGATTAGACTTGGAGGTTGGTTGGGCTTTTCAGTTTTCTTAGGGCCAAATCCGGCCTTCCTTCTAATCATATTTAGATTTGCTTATCTAGGATCTGATCAAATCTTCTGATCAGGTCAGACTTTAATCGGATTTGGAGTAAATTGCCATCACATGCAGATTAAATTGAACATATGCTGCAGTCTACAGCTGTTGTATTATCATGTTTGCGTAGAATGGTGAAATTAACTCTATGTTCTTTATTATGCAGCGTGTTACAAGGCCCAGAGGAGGAATCAACGAGTGGCTTCATTGGCTTCCTGTTTCGCTCCATAAGAAATTGGATTACATCATTAGACAAATGTGTGTTTATTCACATGTTTGGTTTCTGTCAAGAGAGAAGAAATCTATTTCCCTTTCTTCAAATACCTTTAGCAGTGTTGGCTTATCATCTGTTTTGGAAGCTGATGTGAAGCAGATAGTGAGCATGGCCCATAAAACTTTTGAAAAGTATACTCTTGTTCCTCTTAATCATACTCCTATTTTTGTAAGTGCAACAATTGACTTGCACATAGTTTTAAGCATTTTATTTGACTTTGTTAGAACTTTGAATAATATCTAAGTGGGGTTTGTTGGGGAATTAAAAATTATAAAAAGGAGATAGTGAGTGAATAATTTATTTAAAAGTAAATAATGTGAGAGAAAGAGTAATAAATAAAAATGTAAAAGTGTGAGTGAAGAGAGATATATTTAAAAAAAGTATAGAGGATTTCTATTTTTGGAATTGTTTCACTTAACAAAAAAAAGCTGTTTATGGAAATTTTTGCTCTTTTAAAAAATAAAAATATGGAGGAAGTATTGAGTAAACTATTGTTGTTTTTAGTGCTTACCTGCATGGCTGTGAACATTAAGTAGAGCTTGAAGGAAATGATGTCTGTGAAGCATAATCATAATTTGGATTTGGTGTGCCTTCAACAACTTTTTTACTGTATTGTCTTGGTCCAAGCTAGATAAGAGATGCGTGATTGAACCAATGAAAACCAGCTGCTGAAATTACAGTTTATTGCCCACTTTACAATCAAATGGCTTAAAAATTTGTCCCACAACCCATATGACAGAGGGATTTGGTGGGGGAGGGGGGGGGGGTGGGGATGAAAGAGTTTAGGAGATACAGGGAAAAATCTCAAGATTTCTTGCAGGACTGGATACAGAAACTGTAAATAATTAACGTGTAGGCCTAACTTTCCTAGCTAGGTCATTTTCAGACAGAAAGGAAATGCTGAAGTTCATGGAACTGTAGTCACTGATATCAAAAGAGTAAATTTTTTTTCTTCTATGGGAAGGCAATGGAAAATGCAGCTTACTTGATCTTTTTGTATATGCTGGGTAGCATTTTGGACTAGTGATCTATATCAAACAGCGTGTCTTCTTATGTGCTTCTGACTACATCTTTTTGTATTGCTGATCTTTGTTAACATAGACATCATCTCCAATTCTTGCTATGCTGGCCTTTTCTTTTTAATGGTAGTACATTTTCGAAGGCATCTTTGTGTTTAGAACTATTGCTCACTTAGTAGCATTAGAAATTGTTGAATTGCTATATTTTTCCATGCCTAATGTGGAATATATTTTTTTGCAGGGATGGCCCTTTATTGGTGATTGCGTCTGGAAGGGACACAATATCTGTTTCTAGCTCCGTCAGACAGCTGGCATCTGATTATGTGTTTGTTGTACAGGTTTGTTGTTGGTGTTTCCTCTCTGCCTTCCAACTTAGTGACTTTCTTGTGAATTTTGGTCTGTTTTCTTCAACATAAATAAATTAAGATGATCAATGGGGAAAATTAATTTGCATACTTTGGGATCGGGATTTTGTACATCTCATGTAATTGCTTTATATTGTATGGACTTATAATGACTAGTATATAGAATTAATGACTTAAATGACCTGTAAGCATGCTTGCATGGTGCTACCTCCTTTTCTGAAAGTTGTTAATACTTTGTTTGCACATAAAGTAAGGCAATTGGAGAATGGAGATAGTGTTGATGTGGTGAGTGGGTGTAAGAAAAAGGTACGTGGATGAAGTAAGATTGAGAGAGAATGAAAAAGGTAGTTGAATTTAATAAATGGATAAAGTAAGAGAGAGTGAACAAAAAGGTGTAAATATTGTGGGGTAAGAGGGTTAACTTAGTTAAAGGGGTTTGCCAATTCTAAAACGATGAAAACGGAAACGGTTAAAAACTTTCAAATATTGAGGTAAATCATTTGACTTTTGTAGATTTCCCTCTTTGAATATTCAAACTACTGTTTGATACATTTTCTATCTAATGGCTGATGAATTTGCTAGTTTGCTTTGGAAACAATGATCATGTCACACTTGATTTTTTCCTTAAATAACTAAATAAGTGTTCTAATAAGGCATGGACATCATACTTCTCTTTGGGACTGCAGATTCAACATCCAAGAACACGTTTAGATAGATTTGACATGGTTATTACACCTCGCCATGATTACTATCCCTTAACTCCTGAAGCACAAGAGCAGATCCCTCAGTTTCTCCGACCATGGATTACTCCACGTGAACCACCTGGTAGGAATGTGGTATGTTCCTAGGCTGGATTTCCCTGGTGTTCTCCGTTAATTTGCTTTTTCTTGATATTTTGAATACGCAAACCTTTTGGTGATTCATATTTATTGATCTTTGAATCTTGAGTTCAGGTCCTCACTGTTGGTGGTTTGCATCAAATTGATTCTGCTGCCCTACGAAGTGCAGCGAAAACATGGCATGATGAGTTTGCTTCTCTGTCTAGGCCATTGCTTGTTGTCAATATTGGGGGCCCCACAAGTAAATTACTCATCATTCTCTTTGTAGCCTTTTTTGCTCTCTAATGTCTGTTCTCTCCATCCCATTTACTTTTCTCTGAAAAGCTTAATAAGATTCATTTAAGTTGAGACTCACAAACAAGCTCTATTATATTCAAAATAGTTGCAGATAAGAATAAGTTTTAGATCTGTTGAAGAGAACGGGTTATCAGTCATATTGCTGATTATAGGAAACTTCCTTAGTCAAATATGGTAAGTATGATAGCAAAGGAAAATGGAGGCAATAATTCAAGTGAGCAGTGGTTAGAGGTTGTCCATTAAAGAAAATTAGTTTGGTACTTTGGTAGGAGTGCATTGAAGTACAAAATTATTATTGCCTAAGCTCTTTATTGTAGCTTAAGTCTTGGATGCTTGTGCTCTATTCTCCTTTATTCAACCTGTAAGACTGACTCAGCTTCCAAACTTCTTGACTCATTGTTTCATGTTGATCTGATGGCACCTGGCAAAAAGATCCAACTCATGTATGTCAATTCAAATATTTGACTACTTTTCTGGACAGAAAATTGCTGTTTTGTGGTACTTTTCTGGACAGAAAATTGCTGTTTTGTGGGAAAAACTTCAGATGTAGGGATCTTTTTCTTTCGAAAATTCTAAATCTTTGGACTTGATTGGTAGCTTACATATGTTTTCCATATAATTGCAAAGAATGCAAACTGAACAGGGGCTTCGTTTTGGTGTATTGCCAGTCACCACTAGTAGTTGGCTGCCATTGCCCCTGCCAATTTAAGGCTGCTGGATGAACCGGAATTTCATCCTGCCATCTCATCATTGGCTCATGGGTGTTTGCCATGATATTAATGTTGCATGGAAATATCAAATGTGCTGTAATGTCTTTATTTCTGGTATTAATCTTGAGTTCATACAAATCATACTAGTTGGAGTTGTGCTGACTACTTAATACATGAAACAAATTTCGAGAAATATAGAAACCCCTGGACCACACAATTCTATACTCACAGATTCTTCAAGGACAAAAAGCATTCCAGAGCCAGACCTTATTTCCATTTGTTTCGTTTATTATTTTGTGTATATTTTTTTATATAACTTGCCTTTAACGGATGCCTGTTTTAAAATGTTGTCTTATTCCTAATGCTGAAATCTTTAGTTATTAGTTATTGAGTAATGACCTATTTTGGTTGAGTTCTAAACTCCTAATTTCCATCTTTTTACGAGTTGTGTCATTTATAAAGAGGCCCATATCTTGGAAATTTTCGTTGCAAGTATGAGATCTTCAAATCTTAAACCATTAGGAGTTTCATTTCCATGTTTGATTAATGTAACTTGGATTTGAATTTGAATTCCAAGTATGCTAATTTTAATTATTTATTTTTTAAATCGAAAATGTATGGCTAAGTCCCTGTATCCTATACCAAGTTATCTCCCCTTAGTTTTCATACCAATTATAAGACTATTTGATTTCACCCTTTTGGGTTTTGTTAAACCCGTACTGTGGCCATCTTACACCTTTCCCTTGTTTTTATTTAGAAAAAAAAAAAAAGAATAATTATAGTGAGGTTTTTGGTGTTTTATTGGGAGGAGGCAAAAGTGTGGGCCAGAGACGGCCCTAGATGAACATATAGCTTTAACAATCAAGTACACATTTTAGTTACAAGATAACTTAAAACGGTTACATTGCGTACAAAATAACAAGTAGGAGCAGAGGTAGTATTTACTATACATATCTATGTAAATAGCTGATACATGCAGCTAATACACCACTAAAAAAAGGGCCTTTCAGTTTTGTGAAGCAAAAAAAGAACTATATGTTCATATTATGATTTTATGCTAAAAAATTTTGAACTGTATGAACTATATGTTCTTTATTTATAACCTATTTGGTTATTCAGGACCATGATATAATCGTATTTGGGGGAGGAGAGTTCATTTTGGTTGGGTTCATTTATATTCAAAAACTGGTGCTTATTTTTTCTTTTGCTCTATGCCTTTTGACTTCTGCTTCATTTGGTAGGTAATGTGTTCTTTGACTTGCAATGTATTCTTATTTTAGGCCATTGTCGATATGGTGCTGATCTTGCGAGACAACTGATAGTATACTTACAGAATATTCTTTTGAGCTGTGGTACCATAAGAATATCTTTTTCAAGAAGGACCCCAGAGAAGGTATGTCTGTTCACTCTCTCATTCAAAACTCTTTTGTGCTACTTCATTTTTAAATTTCTCACAATATATGGTGTCTCGTAAAGGTTTCCAAGATCATATTGAAAGAATTTGGAGATCATCCTAAAGTTTACATATGGGATGGTGAAGGTAATCTATTCATCCTCATCTCAAGGTGGTGATTATAACAGTGTGTTTGGACTTTGGAAATCATTATACTGTGGAAATATGTGGACAAGTAAATATATACTCCGTAGAAGTTTCAAACTTTCAAATATTTATTAAAGCGATCGTGCAATGTCTCCTCTCCTACATTGTTTATTATTTCTCTCCACTCACATCTTATATACTACGTATTTTGAATAAACTATTAACTCACTGTCATTTTCTCACGACGTTTAATCCTCCAATAAACCCCACTTGTAAATATTTTATCCAAATCATATATGGGTCCTAAAACTCTGCGTGGGCACTTGAAAAAAAAAGAAGGGATAAAAAAAAAAAAAAACAAAGGGATTGAATTGTAATTTGATGTAAAGGCAAGTTTATGGGAAGGAAATCCTTCTGTCTTTTATTTTGGGTACCTTTGTATCTATTCAGCTTTATCCTTATTTCCTCAACTTTTTGAGTTACCATAGATGCTGTGATTATTCAACTTCAGTAACCTAACAAACATAGTTGTTGTGCTCGATTTCATTTTTCCTTTTCACCTGTTTTTCAGAGCCAAATCCACATCTAGGGCATCTAGCTTGGGCCGATGCTTTTGTCATCACTGCAGACTCAATCAGTATGCTGAGTGAGGCTTGCAGCACCGGGTAAGTTTCTTTCTCTCTCTTTTAAAAATTATTTTTTGGCATGCTATCCAATGTTCAGGCTGAGAGAAGAAATTGTGGTTTACAGGAAGCCTGTTTATGTGATTGGATCTGAGCGTTGTAAGTGGAAATTTGCAGACTTCCACAATACTCTCAAGGAGAGAGGCCTTGTTAGGCCCTTTACTGGTTCCGAGGATGTAAGTTTGCTTTAATGCTCAGAGCAATATTTAATACTATATTTTGCCAAATTTCCTTTACTTCTATTGATTATTCATTATTTTGGTAACTTAAAATATTTTTGAGCTATACTTTGCTAATTTTAGATAGGATTTATGACCTAGATGATGAAGTTGCAAATTAATGATATGAAAATAACAAAAGAAAAAAGAGGAAGTGGATAAGATATTAAGAGATTAGTCCAATATTGCTGTACCAATAACAAAAGAAACAAGGGAGATGAAAAAAGAGACATGCAAAACTTCCCCTGTGTCTTATTATATTCTTTTTTGGGATGTTCACAATAGATGCATCACTTTTTTTTCTTAGAAAGGTTTTATGTGAGAAATCAGTTTATTACTACCTTGTCCTCAAAATAAGTGGGACTAATGGCAAATATGTAAATCACTTCACTCTCTTTTCTTCTTATTGGGTTGTGTGCTAGTTCTCTATGATGCATCATTTGAGAAAAATGTGGAAGTACAACACAAGAAATAAAAATTTAAAATAATTGGGATTGTCGACATCTTTTGCACATAATTTCTTTTCCCCTTTCAACATGTTTAATGGTGACAAATGTATTTTCAACTAGCAAAAAACAAAATTTTATTAGAAGATTAACAAAGAAACAAAATTTATTAAAAGATTTGGAATTTTACAATTTTATACTCGTAATTAGTACGAGTTAATATTTTTATCGGATTTTCATAAAATATCCTTGGGTTTTAATTTAATTTACCAAACACCAACATTTTTCAAATTCACCATACACTATTCAATTTTATGAAAATGTCGCAACATGTCATTAATGACTAACGAACGTTAACACTGTTAGTCATTAACGCTAATAATGCTATGTGGCAACATAAAATTGGTTTCTTTTTAAATCATTTAATTTAAAATAATTATTAAATTAATTTTCAAAAACCTCATCTTTCCCTCGAAAAATCCTCCCCTATCTCCACCCCACTAAACCACCACGTACGCCAATACCCTAAAACCAAAATCTAGGATTTCGATTTTGGTGTTTTAGGGTTTCAGGGTGGTGGTTTTCGGCAAATTGGGCGGCGGCGATGTGTGGGAGAGGGTTTGGGCTGACGGCGAAGGGATTTCGGGGTGGTGTTCGGGTTTTCGATTAAGGTGGTAAGGTGGGGAGGGGTTTTTTAGGTTTAAGGCGCTGAGGGAAAGGGAATTCGAGGTGAGCTACGACCAGGAGAGGAAAAGGGAGAAGACTAGGGTCAAGGTTGTCACCGGTGGGAGAGGGGGGTTGGGTGCCGTTTAGTCGGGTTGCGGGCCAGGCATTGACTAGCCGGAGGTGGGGTTCCTGGGGGCAACAGTGGCTGGGTGGTTTTTTTTTGTTTTGTTTTTATTATTTTTTTTTCTGAATTTTTTAAATATTTTTTTTTAAAAGTTAATTAATTAAATAATTATATAAATAAGAACCAATTTCATGTTGCCACATTACACAATTATTGTTAATGATTAACTAATATAACGGAAACTTATGGTTATTTGAAGAATGTGAAAATGTTGGGTGGTATGTGGTAAATTAAGTTAAAATCCAGGGGTATTTGGTGAAAAAACAATATTATTACTTATTTGTTTGTTTTTAAGGTCTTTTGGAAGATGATCTATGAATCACTCTTTATCTACCTCCTATGGTATATATTTGTTTATTTTTATTTTTAAGTTTATTTCTTATATGGAGCTTGCTGATCCTTTAATGGATGAAAGGTTTTAAGTGATTTCAATGGTGGAATAATGAAGGATTGTCTTAGAACTTTAGACGTCAATGAGTTCTAAGTTTGATGTGAACAACCAGTTCGGAGCTTAACAAGAGTTCACATAAAGAAAAATTTCCCGAATTAATAATCAATGAACAAAGATTGTCACCTATTCAGCCAACACAACTTATGGAATCTTAAGGCCTCATAACCCCATAACTATTAATAAAATGAAAATTATATACTACCTCCGTTAACAATTATTTGCAACGAAAGGGACATGCGCGGACTCCTAGGCAAAACTTCTTAAACATGATTATTGAAAGTTATGGATATGTAATTAACTACATCATTTTAATTTAAAAAAAAAACCAATTCCATTTAAAAAGAACATCCCAGAATAACCACCACACGCTACCCAGAACCCACGAACCACCACCCTCGCCACCCACAACTCACCGACCATCACCCACAACTCACCGACAACCACCCACGAACTGACGGAATCCACCCAGAACTGACGAACCACCACCCACGCCACCCACAACTCGACGAAAGTCACCCACAAACCACCGAAATCCACCCAAGAATCACGGAAACCACACAATAACTACGAAAACCACCCTAGAACCACAAGATCTGAATCCCAAAAACTAAACCCATCCACGAAACTACCCCCACGAACCGCCCAAAACCACCACTACTGACACCAACCCACGAATTGAAACAACCATCCGCGAATAACACCCACCCACAAACCACAAAAACAACCCCTGAACCATAAATTACCACCTAATCTACCAAACCCACCCACAAACCATTAACATCCACCACGATCTGAGAAGAAATGACAATACAGAAGAAGATGAAGAGGGAAGAAGATAAGAGATGAAGAGGGAAGAAGATGACAGATGAGAGAAGATGATGATGGTGAACTAAAAGATGAAGATCGAAAAAGATGAGAGATGATGAACATAGAGATGAAGATGGAGGAGAGAGATAGTGGGTAGATGAGATTAATCTGATTTTTTGAGGGGAAAAGTTAGATAATTAAAAGTTAGATTAGAGTTATAATAATTTGTAATTTTGTGTAGTATTATGTGTTAATGATTTTTAAATGAGGGTATTCTGGTCATTTTACCAGAAAAAAGTTACTATATTAGGAAAAAAATAGATTTGTTGCAAATAATAAGTAGCACCCTATTTTGGTAAATGTTGCAAATAACCGTTAACGGAGGTAGTACATCAGTAAAGCCCCTACTTGAAACAATCAAATAATAAGAGTACGGTGTAACCAAGAGGTATCCTAATTATTTAAGTACACAAAGTTTTAAGTGGTCTTGAATCTTGATTTGCTTCATTTTTGGCCAACGTGAATTCTTTACTTGGATTAAGTGAAATGAATTGTGGGTTGGGTAGGGCTATAAAGGTTTTTTTTTTTTTTTTTTTTTTTGTGCTTAAATATTTTTTCTTTTATGTGCAAAAGGGTGGAAAAAAAAAACAGTGAAGGGATTATTCAAGATATATGATTAACCCTGAATTGATGGTTGTTTCTTGGTGATTTAATTATGTTAAAAGATTTTGGGTTGAGACTGCACATAGGATGGATAGTTTAGATAATGGAGGCTAATTTTCTTGGGTTGAGACTGCACATAGGATGGATAGTTTGGATATTGGAGGCTAATTTTCTTATTTGTGGCAGTGACCCATTTAGTCTTTTACCCAAATTACAACTTTTCTTGATATAGATAGTTGTTCTTTATGGCCTTAATAAATTCTGTTCAATCCAAGCAAGGTCTAATAGTAGTAATCTGATTTTGTATCCTTGAAATTCAGTTAACAGAGAGTTGGAGCTATCCTCCACTCAACGACACTGCTGACGCTGCCTGTAAGATACACCAAGCACTTGCTGAACGTGGATGGACTTTGCGAGCATAGAGGAGCTCCTAGGCAGTTGTGGCTCTTTGTTTCAAGTTCAATCTATTCTTCAACAATTTGTCTAATTATTCCAGACATATGGAAGCAGAGGTGATGATTTATTACATATGGAGTATTGGTTTTTGGCATGTTAATATATTCTTTTTTTGTATGGTTAGTGTTTACTGAAGTTAGCGGCTTGTAAAAATACAAGAGGGACACTTTTTTTTAAAAAAAAAAAAAAATTGTATTGAATGCTACACAGTATTGTGATATGAGTATTAATTGTTCTTTTTTCTTTATTTTGTGGTAATTCTACTATTCTAGTGATCGGGTCTGTACGACTTTGCTTGTACTCTTCGTTGCTTCACTTAATTCGTGTTTGTGCAAAGATGGCTGGTAAAACAACTACGGAGTATTAATTGTTTCTTCTTGCTAGTAAACAATCTTAAAATACAATAATGAGTAGTACCTTTTTTTTTTAACACATAATAGACGACATATATTAATTAATTAGAGTTTTACAAGCAAAGCAGCAAACCCCATTCCGTAAAACAAAATTAGGGGCTGACAAATAGCTATTAACATAGGGCCATAAACTAAAGTGAAAATCAATGGACCTAATACTAACACACACTGTGCCCCATCGGAAAGCAACTAAAACAAAGTTTATGACAGCAGAAACTATACTACTAAGATAATCATACAACCAACTACTCCTCCTCAGTATCTTCATCAGCATTCAGAGCAGCCACAGCAGCAAGCTCTGCGTTGTATATTGGAAGAATAGGCTCAGGACAAGTGAGATAAAGACGATGACCAACACTCATAACCAAACCAATCTGAGCTAATTCATGGGCAACAATACTGTTATTCCTTTTCGCATGGAGGATTTCAAAAGTATCAAAGAATTTGATATCCTCCTCTATGTCTTTCACCACCGCTGCTAGCTCATGATGAAGAGTGTTACCTGCTGATTTGAGCATCACACTAAGGGAGAGAGCATCCACTTCTGACTCCACATCCTTAGCCTTAAGTTGTTTGACCATAGCAATTCCTTCCCTAACTGCTAGCAACTCAGTTGCAAAAGCTGTAATGGCATTGTATTTGCTAGAAAAACCCATGATCCAAGTGCCATCATCCCTACGCACAACTCCCCCTCCAGCAGCAACATTAATGGACGTCCAAGCTCCATCCGTATTAAGCTTGACCCGACCCTTTGGAGGTGGACTCCATGAGTTTCGAACAGCTGAGGTGCTTGGATTCTCGACAACCTGTGCTTTGCCCTGCATTATATGATTAGTACACTGATAATCTATAATGAAACGACTAAACACAATTCGAGAATTAAACATTTTCTGATAAAAAACCGTTGTGTTTCTTTGCTTCCATATATGCCACATAGCTATTGTAAATGTCATTTTCCAATGACAATCCAAAGCCAAATTAAAATTAAGCCAATCATTCCAATCTAAAGAAAAGAAATTATGAAAGTTAAATTTAGATGGGAGATGGATTTTAGCAAAGATATCCTTCCATAAGATAGAAGAAGAGAAGCAATCTCGAAAGAGGTGAAGATGTGATTCAATATACATATTACATCGAGCACTAATAGGGGAAATAAAAGGCAGAAAAACCGTCAACTTTTCAGCCACATGAAGTATGGAGTGGACAACATTCCAAAGAAGCATTCTGTATTTTGAGGGGGCAGACACTTTCCAAAGAGATTTCCACGAAGAAAAGTAAGGAAAAGGATGATAAGAGGAAGAAATAAGAAAATGATAAGCAGACTTAATGGTAAACTCACCCGATTTGGATAAAGTCCAATGAATGAAATCATCAAAGTTAGTTACTCTAGTGATGGGAGTAGCTAAAATTTCAGAAATAAGGGAGGCAGGTAACATATGCTTGATATCATCCAAATTCCAAACACCATCTTTTATAATGTCACTAACCAACCAATGACCCATAGAAGGAGGAATGGCACAAGATATAAGAAGAGAAATAGGAGCTGTGCTAACCCAATGATGGTACCAAAGAGAAGTGAGAGTACCAGTACCTATCCCAATTTTCATACCCGAATCAAGAAGATGGCGACCTTTAAGAATATCCCTCCATATCGGTGAATGAGAGGATTTTGGAACACAATAAAAAAGGGCTGAATTTTTAAGATATTTTTCATTGAAAATTTTAACCCAAAGCTTCGAAGGATTATTTAAAAGAGTCCAACCCAACTAAGCCATAAAACAAACATTCCATTCTCTTAATCTTCTAATCCCTAGACCACCCGCAGCAAGCGGCATAGTAACATATTTCCAGGCAAGTCTAGGACTATAATGGATACTATCAACCTTGTTCCATAGAAGGAGTAGTACCTTTGTTTGATATTATTTGCACCTTTTGTCAAAAATAGTTGTCAAGCATTATTTGTACTCCCTTCATATATTAATAAGGTGTTATACTTTGAACGGCACATGGTTTTAGATAATTTAATTGATTTATAAAATAAGAGATTTTTTGTAAATTAACACCCCAAAATATATCATGGATTGAAATAATCACCCACTTTTTTTGAAATTAAAAATAACCACCCATATTTTACAAAAAATGTAGGTTTTACCACCCGACATATACTCCGAACAGTTTTTCAAGCATGGACCCTTCATAACGGCTGTTTTTTATTTTTATAAAAGTTGTTTCTCGATTTATTTCCTCCCTTGTTTCACAAACTACTCACAAAATTAAAATTCTTCATCTTTTCCACAAATTCTACCAATTTTTACTCCTAGTTTTGCAAATTGACAAGCGAATCCTTTGAAGAACACACTTACATTTTTTTACACCAATTTCTACAGCAAGGTAATTGAATATCGCACTTAAATTTAATTTTAATTTTTTATTTGGAAAATTTTTAAATTACCACCCTAAAATATATCCATTTTCTAAATAACCACCCGTTTAATTTTTTATTTTATCTTACCACCCCTTAAATTAAAAAACTACTCAGATTATCACCCATTTCAAAATTCAAGTGGATTTTTCTTAAATGGATCCTACCCAACGACTCTTAGTGGTGAAAGGAAGAAGATGATCAGTAGTAGTGGCAATTCAGACATCATGCTCTTGGTTTTTTTTAGTTGTTTTCTTTTGGTTTTAGGTTATCTTGTATTCAATAAATTAATTTAAGGGGGAGGTGGGGTGAAGACATGGCTGATTGTAATGCTTAGACATAGTCATTACTAGCCATTGGGTGGGTCCTCATAACAGAATTCCATCGGAATTTTGAAATGGGTGGTAATATGAGTAGTTATTTAATTTAAGAGGTGGTAAAATAAAATAAAAAATTAAACGGGTGGTGTTGAGGGTAAAAATACCTCGTATACGTGGACCAATCCCATAGTGACACGTGACCCAGTTATAGGGTGACACGTGTCACCACGGGAAGATGCCACGCAATCCAGAGTCCTTAAGGTCTCAGGCCAATCCCATAGTGACACGTGGCCCAGTATTAGGGTGACACGTGTCACCACGGGAAGATGCCATGTGTTTAGGGTATAAACCCTAGAGAGGGGCACGAGTCCCACCCCTATAAATACCCCAATCATTTATGATGGGAGGGGATTCAGACAATTGAAAACAACAGAGCATTAAATAGCTCTAACTTCTCTCTACTTCCTCTCTCTAGCCTTTTTCCGTTCTGATCACTGACTTGATCGTCGGAGGCGAATATTCCGTTGATCGGAATATTCGTTATTTTGCAGGTGGGACCGACTCATTGCCAGCAGAGCGTGACCAGTATCCCAGGAAATCCAAAAAAGACCCGAAACATTTGGCGTCGTCTGTGGGGATACTCGTACGTTATGGCGATAGACGGTCAGACACCTAATCCAGGCGAGGATGGACATGTAGAGGATTTTATCCCTACGATCCGTACTAGCGATCCTCTAATAGCCACATTTGAAGAAGCTGATGATCCTCCTGTTACCGCAGCCTCTCTTAAGGCCGCGCTTAACAAACTCAGAAAAGAAATTGAAAATGGAGCCTCTACCTCTAGGCAGCCGCCTAGGAGAGAGGACCAGAGGGCTCCAAGGAAGACACACAGAAAAATAGTCCATGCAACGGACGCGGGAAACACTCCATTTCGAAGGCTGACTGGAAGGTCCCCGAGAGTACCGCGGACTAATTTTTCTGACTTGCTGGCGAAAACGCAGTCGGCTGGGGGGAGGGGTAGGCAGCCTCGAAGAGAGGAGCCTGAACCGTCCAGATGATGGAAGGACGCAAGAGATTACCTTAGGCATAAGCAGCGGGAACGCGTTGCCTACTCTGACACGGCTTCAACCCCAACTATGCCGGATGATTTTTCACATCATTCTCTCTCCCAACATACCAACACGGCCACCTCCAGTGGAAGTCAGGCAATTCACACCCCAACTCCTATTCCAGTCTTCCATGGTCCAACTCCTGTTCTGGCCCAATCACTGCAATATCAACCTCAGGGGTTCAATGGCTTGATGCAGCCAAACCCCCAGGCATACGGACAATATGGGCCATAGGTGTACGGGTTGCGGTTGCACGGACGGTCCAGCCAGATAGGGAGCTTGTCCGTACACCTTTTGTGATAGGGTTTAGGGTTTAGGGTTTAGGGTATAGGGTTTAGGGTATAGGGTTTAGGGTTTAGGGTATAGGGTATAGGTTTAGGGTTTAGGGTTTAGGGTTTAGGGTTATAGGGTTTAGGGTTATAGGGTTATAGGGTTATAGGGTTATAGGGTTATAGGGTTTAGGGTTTAGGGTATAGGGTTATAGGGTTTAGGGTTTAGGGTTAGGGTTTAGGGTTTAGGGTATAGGGTTTAGGGTTTAGGGTATAGGGTTTAGGGTATAGGGTATAGGGTATAGGGTTTAGGGTTTAGGGTATAGGGTTTAGGGTTAGGGTATAGGGTATAGGGTATAGGGTTTAGGGTTTAGGGTATAGGGTTTAGGGTTAGGGTTTAGGGTTGGGTAGGGTTTAGGGTTTAGGGTTTAGGGTTAGGGTTTAGGGTTTAGGGTTTAGGGTTAGGGTTTAGGGTTTAGGGTTTAGGGTTTAGGGTTTAGGGTATAGGGTTTAGGGTTTAGGGTTTATAGGGTTTAGGGTTTAGGGTTTAGGGTTTAGGGTTTAGGGTTTAGGGTTTAGGGTTTAGGGTTTAGGGTTTAGGGTTTAGGGTTTAGGGTTTAGGGTTAGGGTTTAGGGTTTAGGGTTTAGGGTTTAGGGTTTAGGGTTTAGGGTTTAGGGTTTAGGGTTTAGGGTTTAGGGTTTAGGGTTTAGGGT